ATGTGGGATCTTCCTGCGCCAGGCCTCAAACCTGTGTCCCCTGCATTGGCAGGCAGATTCTCAACCACTGTGCCACCAGGGAAGCCCGAATTCTTAGATTTTAATACTATAACTTGAAAAATAAACATAACTTACTAGAAATCAAGTAACTCCAAAATGAACACCTGCTGCAGACTGCAGATTCCCGATGATTAAAAGTGTAAATGTAGTTCCTCTATTTCAACATGAGTGTCAGCCTTGTCAACAGGTTGAAAACTAATCAGCAATTATTTCCTCAATAACCCACTTTGTTGTATGAAAGATGAACATTTAATACACTACACTCAGGAAATCTGGAATCAAGGTATATCACAAGTGATCAAAGTCAGGAGTTCTAGACCTGGTGTGCCATTAGTTTGTTATTTGTAAATCACCATTTCTCTAAGCTCCAGTTTCCTTTCCTGTAAAATGGGTTGAACGGATGAGACCTACCCTTCAAGTCTGAGCTCCTGTGCCATTTTCTCCCCAAGGCTTGCTGTGATAACCCCCCTCCACCCCACACCAGGAAGGAGACCCCACAGTGTACTTCCTGACAACCATGGCATGGACCATGGACCACACTTCCTGCAGTTGCTGGTCTGTTCCAGTGCAGGTCTGTTCACCCCACTAGACTATGAGCTCTGGGAGAACAGAGATCTGTCTTGGTCACCAAATAATCTTAAATAAGTTTATTCAATAAATATTTGTTAAATGAACAAATTAATTTCTTACATTTTCCAGAAATATTTTTAAATTCTATTATTTGATATATTCTACCTTGAATTGCTTCACAATCACACCTAACTGGGAATTCACATAAAAGTTTCTATCTCCCTCATTCCCTAGGAAGTTATTTTTTATCCTTGTCAAATCCTTACTTTTTAACCTGATTCCCTATTCCCTTCATATCTAGGTCCTTAGCTGAGACCTCAAATAACACTTTTGTGAGAAATTATATTAAAACTGTTTGAATCTCTGTCTCCCCACTAGAGTGGAAGATCCTTAAGGTGGACATGCGTGGTTCATATTTCCCCCAATACTTAATAGAGGACCTGACACATAAGAGGGATAATAAATATCTGGATGGAAGGATGGATGAAGACATTAGAATAATTGAAAAGAAGGGAGAGAAAGGCTTAGACTCAGGACTTAACATGGGAGAGAAGTAATAAAACCAAGGGACATTTATTTCTAAGGAAGAATGAACAGTACTCACTAGCAGACTAATTATACATAAGAAGAAACAAATATTTTAAGATCTCTGACTTAAAATACTAGGGTAATGGTGTTGTTAATAACCAGAAATTTAAAATAAAATAGAATGAATGAATGAAGCTAAACAGTAGCATAAAGTGCTTCTGGGGGGAGCGAAGTGTTCAAGGGGAGGGAGAGAACCTTCAGGAGAGCCGGGAAAGTGGTCAGGGTTAAGGTCATCTTGATGGGAGGACATCCAGGTGTAGCCAGCCTGAGATCAACTGCAAAACAGGCCAGGAGCCTAAGTGAGGGGCCAAAGCTAGAGATACACACAGAAGTCCTAGGATTTCAGAGCTGAAAGGAATGGCAGGCATGTAGGCCACGGCCTCATTTTACACACAAGGAAAGTCTTAGAAGGGTTACTTGCGCCAGTCATCCTGCCAGTAAACAGCACAGCCAGAACCTATCCAAATCTTCCAATTTCTCATCTAGCATAATTTCCGCCAGGCCATGGCTACTTCTGAGCATCTTTATACAAAGGTAGTAATAGACGCCATCAGGTTCTCAACAGTCAACACTTTTTACTACTCTTTCTAGCCTAATAGCAATGTCAGGGGACAGTACTATGATGACAGTGGGCACTATTTTACACAGCTAGAATTGCTGCTGAAATGACACCATTCATTTTCACTAAAACACCTGGATATACTCAGTCTGGTTATTATTCTAAGATCCAGGATAGCTGCTTTCAAACTCTAGAATTCTACATGATTCAGATGATTATGGGCCACGTTCCCAAGGTTCCGACTTTGTTTTCTGAGTGCATTTCATTTATTTCTATTTACTCACATAAACAAATTCTGCAAGATTAGACTATTACAGGGCTTCCCTGGTGGCGCAGTGGTTGAGAGTCTGCCTGCCGATGCAGGGGACGCGGGTTTGTGCCCCGGTCCGGGAAGATCCCACATGCCGCGGAGCGGCTGGGCCCGTGAGCCATGGCCGCTGGGCCTGCGCGTCCGGAGCCTGTGCTCCGCAACGGGAGGGGCCACAACAGTGAGAGGCCCGTGTAACGCAAAAAAAAGATTAGACTATTACAGTATGTTTATAATGTTATAAACATCATATAGGCCTGGCAGTGCAATAAATATAAACAATCCAACAGTCCTCACTGTTCTTTTTGCCCTCCTCCACAATAGAGCAAATTATTTCACCTATGAGGCAAAGAAAATAATTCAGAAATGGGACAGCTCTTCTAAACATCAATTCAAATAACCAGCGAAAGACTGAACACATGCATATTGGGCTTAATGTAGGGATGTCTGCTGACACAGCCAAGCTGAAAGTTGAGCACTAGTCACAACTAATTGCAGAGCACTCACCCCACGCAGCTCTGACTGCGTATGATGTACTGTCCCTTTCAGTAAGTCACACATGGATGACGACACTAAGTGATGCAAATGCAAACTGAAAGGGTCGTCTCTGAACAAAAAGGAGAGACATATGAAATCATCTCTCCTAATTATAACGACTTCTGTGCTTTAGCATACCTTCCGAATCACTCTAAGCAAGCTAAGGCACACTGTGAAGTTTGATGCCTTCGCAAACTCAAAGTATCGGCTGAAAAAAATTATGATTCAGCAAATGCCAGAAATGTGAACATTTCATAATTTCAAGCGGCACTAAGATTACAGCTTCACAGGGAACTCTTGCATTCTCTGCACTTATAGCAAATACCGTACCATTCCGTGCCCTGATTCTGATTCTCCTCTGGGAGTGGCTTTTTCTTTGTCCCAGCATTACCTTACCCTTCTCACCAATGCATTATATGCCTTGAGATTTCATGTCTCTCTCTATAGTTTCTCTTTGGAAGGTATGCAACCCCCTCCTCCCTGGCATCTAGAACATACTTTAGTACTTAGCAAAAGGTGTGCAATTTGGTGAACAAAACAGAAAACTGTTCTTTTATAACTGAAAAAAAAAACCTATTTACAAATTTACCTGGGCTTTTCAGCAATAGATAACACCCACATTTATTTATTTGGTCTAGAAAATTTCCCTACTAGAAATCACAACTTCAAATATTCTCATTCTAAACTCATCCAACAACTTTTTCACATTCTCTCAATCCAGTTTTAAAGGCCGTTTTCTGCACTGTGTGACGTGCCACACGTGCTAAAGCCTGAGCGGTGAAGCTGGCTCCGGGTCGCACAATCAGGCGCAGACGCTGACAAAGCGCGACCGGCTCCTGGCTCTTATCTCCTCCCTGCAAGCAAATCACCGGGACTCTGGCCCATCTGCTGCTAGGAGAGCAGGTAAGAGGGGTCCTCCAAGTAACCAAAACCTAATCTACATCAAGGCTTCGCCAGCTTGACTTCGTAACTGGAGCTCTACAAGTTGTACAGATCCGGAACGCGAAGCCAAGATGCTCCATCCCCACCCCAGGCAACAGGCAGGAGGCTGGGCTGCTGGACTCTGGGAGGCTGGGGCCCAGGATCCTCGGCTGGTCCAGATCAGAACCAGGAGGGCAGCGGAGCAGTCTCATTGCTGCCACCGCAGCAGCAGGACAGCCACGTGAGTCACACTGGTGTGGAACCTCCTGCCCCTCCGTCAACGGCTAGAGATTGCGTCCCCTCCTCTAGCAGATATACAAGTAAAGGACGCGAGACAAAAGTCATCTGTGAGACACAACGCTACTACAGTTAAACAAATTCTAGTCCCAAAGGCCCTCAAGCCCTTGTTTTATGTCCCCAGCCTGCCCATGGTGACTGATTCCTCTTCTGGGCCACCCAGAGCGCAGCTGTGCCAAGGTCCCGACCACTCACTTTTATTTAAGTACCAGAATCATGAAATCCAAAGCAGAAAGGAACCATAAGGTCCAGCAATTCACCCAAAGGCATGAATCTCCACAGCAACATTCCTGCAAAGTGCACTAAGCTGCCCGATGTGAGCCAGAATGTCAGAACTCATTCCTGAGGAGTGGGTCCCCTTCTGCATTAAATGTCACATGTCGTCCCTGGATACCATAATTTGTATACCTCTTGAGTGAACACAGGTAGACTCTGCCAGCAGAAAATGCGGAGTAATTTACTCAGCTAATAAGGTGGAGTTGCTCTATACCAGCCAGCTTCTTAATTTAGGCTAAAGCTCAGGTACGTCATGCTTATTCAGCTCACTAATCCAACCATTTCAGGGGAAATTTCAGGACAAGTAAGTAAATAGATGGTTTTAAAAATATTTCATTGTCTTTTAGGCTTTTTCATAAATCTGCCCCAAAAAAGGTAACAAGAAAAGGCTCTATAAATGTATGAAAAGTTGTCCTCTTTTCCAGAGGGCAGTCACAAAATAGCCTCCATACCATCTGCACTAAAGAGAGGTGGAAGTTTTAGGATCCAGCAAAACACTTGTGGTCCTCTTTGGAAGGCTTGGGTCCAGAGACAGACTTTTCTTTGAAAGGTTTAAAATGCTGAGGAAAAAGAAAATAGTCTCAGAAGCTCTTTAAAAAATAACCAAGTTGTTTCCAGAATTAAGAAAACAACTGATGCTCCCATTATTTAAATTGGTTTAGAATTTGATTTCTCCTACCCTGAAGATACATACTGCCTTCACACTTAACAGAAACAAGCATGATTTATTAAAATGATCAAGAAGTTAAGAGATGACAAGAGAAACCAATGCTAGGTATTAATATAACATATTACATGATAACAATTCTTGCCCTTTAAGATCACAAATTCTAAAAGAAAACTCAAGGAGTATATATTAAAAAAAAATTTTTTTTTTTTTTCGTTTAAATAAATTTATTTCTTGTAACTTTGCTCTGTTTAGATTATGTAGTTTTTGTTCAGTTATGAGAACAATCTTTAAAGGATGGTGGATTATTGGCTAGCTTAATGGATGGAATAGGAAAGTGGAAAATGTAAAATGTCAGGAAACATACATTCAGAGCTAGATAAGTTTGTTCTCTGAACCTAAACTGGCTAATCCATTAAACACAATCTCCTCAGAAAAAAGCACGAAGATTCTACTAACTGATACATACGGTTTCCTCATTCAAATAAAAGTAGATATACCAACTAATCTAGAAGCTATAGCTGAAATACAAAGAAGAAATCCCAATTAGAAGAGCCCCCAGTTTCAAGGTAAAATGCATGCATTTAAATGCGGTCCATCTGGTTGAAAGTTGGCACAAGATACTAAATTCTTCCCCAAAATAGAAAAGCACAAACGAAGACTGGGGAGGAGCCTCACTTTATGATCTTGCTCTCAAATTGCTTAGCACTCCTCCACTTGCGAATACACTTGAGACAGTAGGTGTGGTTGCAGTTGGAGAGGATCCCGAAGCGGCGCTCGCTGGGGTTGGCTTTTTCATAGACCACCTCCATGCAGATCCCACACACCATGTCCTTGCTGCGCTGCACAGCAAACGAGAGCTCCATGTCCTTCTCATGGGCCTCGATGCAAGATTTTATATGTTGTGATCTTTGGGCAGCATCCATTGGATGGAGGACCTGCAGCCCACACATATCACATGAGTCTCCGTGGAGATACACACAGTTCTCCCCATATCGGCACTCTCCCACCGCAGCATAGGGGCAGAGCTGTTTCTTTGTTTCCACTGCAGTTTGCTCCTTCTCTGATTCTTCCTTGGTCACTGAGCCCTGCAGGGGTGCTTCAGTGGAGGAAGGGGCAGTACGGCCACAGTAGGGCTGCCCAGGAACAAACTCAATGGCGTTCACCCAGTCTTCTGAACCCGCTCCTACAGTTGAAAAGTTTGAATTTCTTGACTCAGCTTCGCCCATATTCATTTCAACAATCGGTCCAACTACTGATGAGAGACTTGAGGAAGCAGCAAGGGGTGACTTTGCAGTTAGATCTGTAGCAATTGCTTCTTCCTGTTTCAATGGCTTGCTGTGTTCATATCTGCAGCGGTCTCCGTAAATACAGTACCCTCGCTGAAAATACTTGCACACTACACCATACGGACTGTCAGAGAGGTCATGTGAGTATCGACAGTTATCTCCTTCCTTACAAACCCCATGCATGAAATACCTGCAGGTGACCTGTTTAGTCCAGCCACCGCCGCTGCCGTCGCTGCCGCCTCCCCCGCCCCCCGCCCCCAGGGACGGGGAGGTGACTGTGGGGGTAGGGGTGGGGGAGGCCGCTGCCACCGCCGCCGCTGCCGCTCGTGCTCCTGATGTTGTGGCTGTTGTTCCGGGAGCTGCAGCCTCCGCCATTACTGTTTATCCCACACAGCAATGGCGCCGGAACTTCCGGGATCACATAATTCCGGTCCGGCTGCGGGGTGGAGAAGGACACTGAGGCGCCCGCTCGTCCTCCTCTGCCCCGCGTCGCGTCTCAGAGCGATCTCAAAAACTCAAGGAGTATATATTAAAAAAAATTTTTTTTTAAACAATAGTGTGGGTTAGCAATTCTGAAACTAAATTTTGAGCATTCTAAGACTGAACAAGTAAAGATATTATGAATAATGAGTGCTAAGTTTCTCATAGAGAAAGGAGTTACAAATATGGAAGTGGGGAAGGCTAGAATGAATGCTGTACAGCTGACCTGGAATCAGAGGCATCAGTAGGAACCCATGGTTTTTAAGAACAGAGAGACAGAAATACAGATAAAACAGAAATATACATAGAGAAAGAAATACAGAGAAATAGAGAGAAACAGAGAAAGACAGAAATCTTAAGAGCTAGAGAGATAGAAGGAGAAGCAGGAGGGCCTAGAAGCAACGACAAGTCAATGGCCAACGGGCACTTAGCGCCCATCTCCTGGTTTTTAAATACAATTCCCCACTAAAAGGAACCACCAGGGCTCCTTGAGAAAAATGGCTGTTTCCAAGACTGGAGCAGGAAACATACTAGATGAGCCTATAACATCTTACTGGGCCAGAAAGCAAAGAAATGTTCAGAGAATGATATCAAAAGAACACAGAAGGCATCCTGAAGGGGTTCCCATAGGCCACATTGGGGACGATTTGAGCAACAATATAAACGGGCTTAGTAATGGATTATCACCTACAGAATAAAATAAGAATTCATGAATCCACACTGACATAAATAAGTGAATAAATAAATAAGGAAGAAGAAAAGGCTCAGTTTTACAGAAGAATTCCAAATATTAAATGTATTAATAGAAGGAATTTCAGAAATAGAAAAATCACCATTTGGTTACTACCGTGTAATAACGTCAAAGGTAAGAATCATCCAAGGATGCTAAAATTAGTAGCTGGAGGCACGACAAGAAGCGGACTCTACATAGTCTCCAAGTGTCTCCCCATATCTCTTAAATGATAGGGGGGGAATTGTAACTTGACGATAGAGATCAAGACAGTCACCACCTTACCAAGTTATCAAATTTAACATCACCAGTCATGGAAAAATCTTCTGTCTCCTGCTACGATGTCCTGAGGAGGACACATAGCACGTCTGTGCTCTTCCTGCCACAAACGCAAAATTGGAATCTAATCCAAAGGAAACACCAGACAGATTCAAACTGAGGGATGTGGTACAAAATACCTAACTTGTACTCTTCAAAAATGTTGAGGTCGTGAAGGACAAGGAAAGACTGAGAAGCTGCTTCAGATCAAAGGTGATTAAGGAGAAATGACAAGGAAATGCAATGTTAACTTTGGATTGGATTCTGGACTAGAATTTTTTTTTTAATGACAAAAGTCCTTAGTGGGCAAACTGATGAAATTTGAATGTTATAAGTTAGATTTTGGTAATTATGTTGTGGCTAGCCCTGTTTTAGTAGATATTGCTGAAGTATTTGGAGGTAAAGGATATCATATCATCAACTGACTCTTAAAATGTTCAGAATAAAAATCTGTGTGTGTGTATGGAGAGAGAACGATAAAGCATGTGTGGTAAAATGTTAACTTTGGTGGAATCTGGGTGAACTATATGTGGAAAATCTTTGTACTATTTTTGCAACATTTTGTAAGTCTGAAATTATTGCAAAATAAAAACTTTAATTTTTTTTTTTTTTGGCTGCGTTGGGTCTTCGTTGCTGTGCGCGGGCTTTCTCTAGTTGTGGTGAGCGGCGGCTACTCTTCATTGCGGAACATGGGCTCTAGGCCCGCGGGCTTCAGTAGTTGTGGCACACAGGCTTCAGTAGTTGTGGCTTGCGGGCTCTAGAGCACAGGCTCAGTAGTTGTGGCACACGGGCTTAGTTGCTCCGCGGCATGTGGGATCTTCCCAGACCAGGGTTCGAACCTGTGTCTCCTGCATTGGCAGGCAGATTCTTAACCACTGCGCCACCAGGGAAGCCCGTAAATAATTTTTAACTTGCCACTTGTCCACAGAAACCAGGAAAATTATACTCCTTCAGTTTTCATCCTTAGCTTCTTATGACAAACTAAATCATTCATTGTAGCAACAACTCATCACAACAAATAGAAAATCATAATAAACCCTTGATATTGGCAGCTATAAACAAGATTAAAGAAAAAAAAAACCTGTTGTCCATTTCACCCCCTTCAAGTTCCATTTAGAACAAGTAAGCCCCAGAGGTAATAAAAACCTTAAAGCAGCAAAGTATAGTAGAAAGAGTTCTTAGAATTCCAGCTCAGAAAGTTATGTGACATTCGTTAGACAAATTATCAAACCCCTCTGGGCCAGGGTTTCATCATCTGAAAAATGAAGGGGTTCTATCAGGTTATCTCTGTGGTCTACTCTATAATTCTCACATCATGAGAACTTACAAATGAATTTCATAATAAAAATACTTATTGCTTGCTTTACAACTTAAGAGTAAAATAGACAAATCAAACTTCAAGTTCAAATATGACAACAATAAACTGGCCAGTAAATAGTCATTAGCTATCTATCCTAATTCCTTCCTCCTTTTTAGATCCTGAAGTGTGTGGCTCTAGGCTTGGATCATATTTGGCCACTCAGTTATTTCTTACAGTCTGGAAAATAAGAATTTCCTTGTGCTTTTGACTTTCTGTAACTTAACCAACTTTACCAATAAGCATATCCACACATCCTGATTATCAGACTGTTGGACAGGTAAACATGGCAGTTAATCCCCAAACCTATGGCAGGCAAATAACATCTATCACATCTTTTAAAATATAATATGCACAACAAAATAATTTGAATAGATTTTTCTGCTATTCTAAAGAACATTCAGTGGTACAATAAACACAATTAATATCCACATAAGTATTAACTTTTATTCAGCTGGCTTTCATAAAGAAATTTAGGGAAGTAACTTAATTGTTGTGCCTGAATTGCTAATGCTTTTTGTTTTGTTTTTTGGTTTAGATAATATCATTATTAAAACAGAACACTATGCTGTGACACTGTATTTAAGTAATACAAAAGTACAACACACAAAGTAAATGCTTTTTTGTAGTGGCTACTCACCTGAGAGCTCTTGCCACATTTAGCATCTCCTGAAACGATCACAATTTGACTTTGAAGCAGATTCTCCATAAAGGAGTATTTTTCCTTCCATATTGGAAGATCTTCTCTTTCTTTCAGAAGTTTATAATAACGTGATGAATATGGCAATCCATCAAAAGGGTTAAGTTCCAGATCCTCACAGGCCAAAATCCCCTCCTCATTCCCCTCACTGGAATCGAGGGATTCAGGAAAATAGCGTTTTTCAGAGGAAGAGTTTGGACATTCCAGTTCTTCTTTTTCCATCTTGTCCAAGTGAGCTTAAGCAGCTGGCATTCTCCTACAACAACCCACTGCAAATAGAGCTGAAAGTGCACATATACAGACTCAGATGTCCCAATGTCTAGGACTTCAGTTCAAGGTTTTAGCAAAGCTGAATTCCTCAAATCTGCATCTGTTCTTCTTTGCTGCATTAGCTACTATGCTGGCTCACCGGCACTCTTCAGCATGTTAAATGATTGTCAATAAACCACGCTAAACACATACAAAAAAAAAAGAAGGAAAATCAGGTACATATAAATACAAGATGTTCAAAAGAAAAAGCATACACATTCAAAAATAAAAGCATGATTCTTCCTGTTAGCTGGTTACTGTCTTTTATTTCTGCTGTCTGTTTAAAAGGCCAGGAATAATATAGGTTAATTCTTAAAGTCTGGTTGGCTGCAGTTTTTTCCTGGCCAGTTTGGAAAACAATTCCACACTGGACCTGGTGCTCTCTGCCTGATCTGCCTCTATCACAGGTCCCTGCATCTTGATTGACAGTGAATAGAAAGCAACAGGGGGACATTGTGAGTGTGAGCCTCAATCACGTGGTCACTAATCCCACTACAAAAGAGATGCCAGACCCTATAAAAGGGAAAATTGTGAGGGCTTGGGGAGTGTTCTCTAACACTGGCTACAAGAGTCTACTATTTATTTATTTATTTAGTATTAATAACTCCTCTAGTTTAAAGGAGAATATTAAAAAAAAAAGACTTCATTTTACATTTGCTCGTGCCAGTTTACAAAGTCAAGTGAGTGAGTTGCTTATTTTTTTCCATCTGAGGCTATGGCTAGCTTTTGTTAATGAGGTCTTTGTTTGCTTAATTAAACCAGAAATCTCAAGCATATTTCTCGAGATTCCTGGGTCTTGAGCCCAGTATGTCATATTCAAGAGGCAATAAAATACATTTAATTTAAATGAAGAAGTGAAAAACTGCCTAAGAAAAGGTAAAATGTATGCTAGTAACACTCCCTACGTGTCAGGTAAGGGGCCCTTCCTTTTCCAATCACTGGTGATTTTTTAAAACTCTAATCAGTGTTGCTGGAAATAAGCACCTTTTCACATTAATCAAGGGAAAACTAAAAAGACAGAAAAACTTGAGTATAAAAGTACAAATAATAAAATACATATCATGATATCTTGTCACTCAGATCACTCTTTTTAAAGCATCCCATTTATCGGAACTATTGCCTTTTTTTTAAATGTATAACACACCACTTTATTTTTTTAACTTCCTTTTTAAAATTTTTTTCAAATTTATTATTTTTTAAATGTATTTGGCTGTGCTGGGTCTTAGTTGTGGCATGCAGGATCCTTTTTTTTTTTAGTTGCAGGATCTTTTTCTTTTAGTTATGGTGTGTGAACTCTTAGTTGCGGGGTGCGAACTCTTAGCTGTAGTGTGCGAACTCTTAGTTGTGGCGTGTGGGATCCAGTTCCCTGACCAGGGATCAAACCCGGGTCCCCTGCATTGGGAGTGAGAAGTCTTAGCCACTGGACCACCAGGGAAGTCCCGGAATTATTGCTTTAGATTGTCAGAGTTAGTGGGCTCAAA